GCTAGTTCCTCAAGATTTCCTTTTCCTCGTGCAACCCTGTCAATTATTAGTACGAGTATGAGGCTAATAATTAAGGAGCATCAAATGGAGTAGACTCCACATTTAGGGCCTGTTTGGTTCCAATAAGTCACCTATAAGTCAGGTGATTTAAAACCAGTGACTTATAAGTCACATCTGTTTGGTTGCCACCTGACTTATAAGTCATCTGAGCACATCTTCCCACCTTGTTTTTTTATGTAAAGGTGGTGAGACCCATGCAAAAGGGGGTGACTTATAAGTTTTAAGTTTGGGTAGAGCAACTTATGACTTATAAGTTGGGTCCGTTTGGTAAAATAAGTCACTTTTTGCACTTTTCGACTTATAAGTTGGTGACTTATTTGGAACCAAACAGGGCCTTAGTATCCCGTCTCCTCTTGGAGACCGAAGGAGTTGACATGTAAGATCTCGTTATAATAATTACTCCTACTCCCTCCATTCCACAATGTAGTGCTTCTTCTATCTCCGTGCTTCAACTTTGACCGTAAATTTAACTACTAAGACCGATTGCGACGGGAGCAAAAATTATATCAGTGAATTCGTATTTGAAAAAAGTTTTCAATTATATAATTTTTTCGCCCGCCGCAGTTGGTCTCATTGGTTAAATTTATGGTCAAAGTTGGACCTCAGGAAGTGCGGGCGCACTATATTTTAAAATGGAGGAAGTATGATACTATTCTTTCTGTACCATAATACTTGTCGCTGCGGAACTTGTACTAGTTTTTCCCAACAACAAATATTTCAGTACAGAGGGAGTACATGGCAGCACCCTGCATGACACCCAGTGTGCGGTGCTCAAGCATTCCATTGAGGAAGCGTTCATGCACCCTCATCACGCGGGGGAAGTGTTCCATTCAGGAAGGAGCTGACCAGCGTGAGCGCTGCCTCGGGCTGGTAGGACGGGACCGCGTGCCCGGCTGCCCTCAGAGTTGCAAACACCAACCCACCCGCGTATCCCTGAACGAACCCTCCAGTCTGCAACAAAGCACGGCAGGATTATCAGAGTGGCAACGAGCAAAGACTTGCAGGCAAATCAGGACACGTCGCCATGCATGCTCAATAATTCTACCTCATCCTTTACTATCCATGGGCGCCATGGCTCCGTGACGTTGAGGCCGAGGTCCTTGATGGTGTAACTCGTGGCGATGAACGGGCATACGGAGTCAAAGTCGCCGCTGGAAACATACATCTCTCCGTCACACACACACACACACTCTGGCAGACCAGACGACCAGATGCATATATATACTGTACTTACTTGCGGCTTAGTGTGGGATTTGGCATGTTAATTACCTGTACAGCCACACGGGCAGGTGGTGCTCTATCAGCCATTTGAGCGTCGGCACCATCGAGGCCGGTGCATCCATCCAATTAAGTGAGCTGCAAAAATACTAGAGCGTTAGTTAAGGGCAGTTTATTTTGCTGCAAACGTACGTATTTTCTAGTTTCTCCGATCCCAGTTAAGAAATCCTACGAGCAGTGTTGCCACTCTTGCGGTCTAGCATGCAAAGCCTTTTGCACCCGAGGATCATTGAGGTATGCGTATACGTAACGATCGCTGCAAATATCATACGACCTCGGTATCTGCAAAATTTAGAGCAAAACGTACTGTATTTATCAAGGTAGTAGGTGTGTGGCTCTTATAATTCAGTGGCGCTCTCTTACATAGCGGCTGTGGTGCTGTGTTTCAGTTGGCCCTTCCATGCAAACCGGTTCATATACGTCGTACGGATCGATGTTAGCATGAGTGCCATCGATCATATGTTCAACGCATGCTGTGTAACCTGGCTTGTCTAAATGGCAGTTCTCGGTGATATTGGCCCACACCTCATTTGATATCAATCCGTGGCCCCACTGATAGTCAACTTTTCCCTTATCATTCATATTGGCATCAAGGTACGGATTGCCGACCTAATTAACCAAAACAGAGATGCACTCACTATACTGTTAAAAAAATAGAATGAAACTATGTAATACTCCCTCTTTTCGTAAATATAAGATGTTTTGAATATTTAATATGAACTGCATACCCATCAAAATGAATGAACAAATACACTAAAATCTGTATATATACATTTGAATAAGAAAAAAGTTAAAACACAAGGGATGGACTGGAGTAACTATTATTAATAATCGATTAATGACTCGTACCAGGATACCCCGTAGGTTTATGGAAGTTCTTGTACTACTGTTGAGATTGTGGCCGAAGATGGTGGCCGCGAGCTGCGGCACATAGTGGCCGGCGTAACTCTCCCCAGAGATGTAGAAGGGGCGGCCTTTGTACTCCGGGAACCTCTTGAGCCAGTTGAGGAGGAAGACAAACGCATCGCGGGCCGTCCTCTTGTCCCCGCTCAAGTCGTATTCGGAGGTCGTGTTGGAGTACGAAAACCCAACACCGACAGGAGATTCCAAGAAAAGCACGTTGGCAACTGCAAGGATCTTACAAGTCGGATCGTACAATAGATTGTAGTTCTAATTCAGTTGCGCGCGGCGCGTTACCTTTGGTCCAGGCATGCAAGTTTTCGCTGAGAGTTCTTTTGTCCTTGTTCACGCGGAACGGGCCCACCTCCATCATCGCCCCGTAGCCAAGTGATGAGCATCCAGGACCTGTGAGTGCACCATGTAAGATTGATAGTATCTATCACCAGAGAGCACTCAAAGGTTCAACAATTGAATTGAAAGCATTTCGATCGTAACAAACTAACCTCCATTGAGCCACAGGAGGAGTGGTTTCGCCGCCGCGTCGCTGGCTGCCTCGACGAAGTAGTAGAAGAGCGCTCGGCCGTTCTTCTCGTGGACGGTCACGTACCCGCCGTACTGATTTAAGCCGGTGGTACCGCTAGGCTGCCCCGGCAGCACATGGATCTTATCGGCGGCCTTCAAATTGGCCAGGTCATGGACAGAGTACTCTCTGAGGCTACTGGTAGTGGTAGTGATTTCTACCCTTGGTTCATCTATGGTGTTGGCACTGCTACTGCTCCGTCTAGACCGGATGAACCTTTTGAGCTGAGCCTCTTGCGATGCATCTGCATGCAACGCGGCCACGCAGACGAGGAGGAGCAGACCCAAGGGGGTGTTCCTCATAGTCTGCTATGGGAAAATGAGTAGAGCTAAAATGACGAAGATGGATTCATGGTTGGAGTTCATATATAGAGAAATTTTAACATGGTCCCCAACAATTTGTTTGAGTAATCCATGCACATTTAATGTGCTTTAATCCATGCACATTTAATGTGCTTTAATGCCATATCTTCCTACCCCCTAGAATTCATTGATGACAATATTGTGATCCTTGAGTAGTATACGATTTGTGTAGGGAAGACAATAATGTGTATTACTATTTCCCCTTTTATGCCATGATGTATTAACTAGATGATTCAATAAGATCTTTTTGCGCAATTAAACAAGGGCGTGGCTTGCCTGCTTGCGCGCCTTGCTCCCATCGGTGCTCCCGGGACACGTGGCATACATCCAAATCATCATACCATTTTCTTCCGTTCAAAACAATTCCGCAAATAAGACGATTAATACGAACCAATACGTGGCCCAGTGGCTCTTGCCGGCGCTCCTCGGCCTGACGAATTCGATCGCCGCCGATGTCCATGCCGCCACAGGCGGGAGCCCTGACCATACAAGGGTACTCGCACGCTTCCTCGAATGTGGAGTTTGCTCCTGATGCACCTTGGAGCGACCGTTGCGATTCAACTAACCAATGGACCGACACGACCTCATCATTAACCTAAGTGACGAATATAAGAGGCAACCAGGTGGAGCCAACAATGGACACCGGGCAGGCAAAGAAAACATGCAAACCCTCGACTGACCAAAGAAACACGGAACGAACCCAAATTAACATGCACCTTTCGGGCGTCTTGCCATCTCAAAGGAATTGTGTGCTTCTTTTTCCAGGTAGTGAGGTCTGATGAGGACATTGCAGATCATTACCACCCGCTGCCTTTGTTTGATCAGTTTGGATGTCCAACTCGGTTTGCTCGTTAGCCCAAGTCGGTGCATATAACTCACTCACTGTTGTTGTTCGGCTGATATAATTAGGCATACCCCTCCATAGCTAGCAGAAACGGATGGTTGGCCGGTTGGTTTACAAAAATCAGAATTTAGCAGAACGGTTGGCTTTGTATGGTCGTATTGAAAATGCGACTGATGTATGGCTAGATCGTGGACCATCATGCATAGAGAAACTTTTGCCTTTCAATTGTAACCCTATTCTTATGGAATAAAACTCTTTATACCCTCGCAAAAAAATTGTCACATTTTTCTCGGATTTTATCTGCACAAAAAAACAATAGTCCAAATTCATTTACACTGTTCGTTGATTATCTGGGACCCACCAGTCTGTGATCGTAGTTCACCAGCTTTTATGCATAATTAAATAAAAGTTGAGGGTGTTTTGTGTAAAAAAAGATCATGCATGTCTCGCCCAACGTCTCCCTGCTCTTAGTCATTGACAATTTGACATGTGGGCCCCGGCCAAGCTGCCCTGCTACGCACGCAGCAGATACACCCGCATACCGGAATTATGACCATATTTGCACGCCCTTGCAAGTTTGATGATTGGAACCGTGTAATTTACAAGTTTATGCACCAAACTGACCGTCGCGTGTAAGTTCTAATACTTTAGGTGTACTTATCTTTTTATAATGCACATAGTTTTCAGCTCTTATACCAATGCACGCGCTGAATATGTGGTTTGTACAAGACTAACCCTGCATGCGTTCTGACCCATCCCATGTGCGCCCGCTGCTGCGCTTCCTGTGATTTCTGTCAAAGGGTAAATTCGTCCAAGCGAGGCTTAGGCTACATGCACGCACTACATTGATGAATTTTGCAAAATAAACTAATACGCACTAGAAAAGGAAACGGAGGGAGTACATGACTGCACCCTGCACGACACCTAGTGTGTGGTGCTCAAGCATTTCATGCACGGTTTCTACTCGGTTCACATGTCACCACCACTTATCGCTCGGGGGAAGCGTTCCATTCAGGAAGGAGCTGACCAGCACGAGCGCTGCCTCGGGCTGGTGGGATGGGACCGCATGCCCGGCTGCCCTCACAGTTGCAAACACCAACCCCCCCGTGTATCCCTGAACGTGCCCTCCAACCTGCCACAAAGCACGGTCGAATTATCATCACACTAGCGACGAGCAAAGAATTTCAAGCAAATCAGGACATCTAGCCATGCATGTTCAATTTACCTCATCGCGCTCGTTCACTATCCATGGGCGCCATGGCTCCGTGACGTTGAGGCCGAGGTCCTTGATGGTGTACCTCGTGGCGATGAACGGGCATACGGAGTCAAAGTCGCCGCTGAAAACGCACATGTCTCCGTCACACACTCCGGCAGACCGGGCAGACGGCTAGATGCATATATTACTTGCGGTTTCAGCGTGGGATTTGGCACGTTAGTTACCTGTACAGCCACACGGGCAGGTGCTGCTCTATCAGCCATTTAAGCGTTGGCACCATCGAGGCCGGTGCATCCATCCAAGCAATTTCGCTGCAAAAATACTTAGAGCGTTAGTTAAGCGTAGCTTATTTTATTTTGTTTTATCATAAACAGCGTGGTCTGTCCGATCCCGGTTAAGAAATCTTACGAAGTGCAGTGCGTCCACTCTGTTGGTCTAGCATGCAAAGCCTTTTGCACCCGAGGATCATTGAGGTACACGTATACGTAACGATCGCTGCAAATATCATACGACCTCGGTGTCTGCAAAATTTAGAGCAAAACGTACTGTATTTATCAAGGTACGTAGTAGGTGTGTGACTCTTTGTAATTCAGTGGCGCTCTCTTACATAGCGGCTGGGGTACTGTGTTTCAATTGGCCCTTCCAGGCAAACCGATGCATATATGTCGTAGGGATCGATGTTAGATTGATCAGCACCGTGCATATCAGTGACGCATGCTTTGTAACCTCGCTGGTCTAAACTGCACTTCTTGGTGATACTGGCCCACGCCTCATCTGATATCATCCCGTGGCTCCACAGATAGTCAACTTCCCCCTTAGCATTCATATTGGCATCAAGGTATGGATTGCCAACCTAATTAACCAAAACAGAGATGCACACACCATACTGTAAAACAAATCGAATGAAATTCTCCCACTGTTCGTAAATATAAAATGTTTTGGACATTTTAATATATGTCTGAAATGAATGAAAAACACATAAAAAAATTAAAACGCCTGATAACAGTAAACTAATGGAGTAACTATTATTAATAATCGGTTAAGGACTCGTACCAGGATACCCTGTAGGTTTATCGAAGTTCTTGTGCTACTATTTTCGAGATTGTGGCTGAGGATGGTGGCTGCAAGCTGTGGCACATAGTGGCCGCCGTAGCTCTCCCCGGAGATGTAGAAGGGACGGCCTTTGTACTCCGGGAACCTCTCGAGCCAGTTGAGGAGGAAGACAAATGTGTCGTCCGCCGTACTCTTATCTCCGCTCAAGTGGAAGTCAAGGGTCTTGTTGGAGTATGAAAACCCGACGCCGACAGGCGATTCCAGGAAGATCACGTTGGCCACTGCAAGGATCTCAAAAGTTGAATCTTATAAACGATTCGTACTAGTTCAGTTGCGCGCGGGGCCTTACCTTTGGTCCAAGCATGCATGTTTTCGCTGAGAGTTCTTTTGTCCTTGTTCACGCGGAACGGGCCCACCTCCATCATTGCTCCATAGCCAAGCGATGAGCATCCAGGACCTGCGAATGCACCATGTACGCGTTCATAGTATTTATCACCAGAGCACTCAAAGGTTCAGCAATTGAATTGAAAGCGTTTCGATCGTCACAAGGTAACCTCCATTGAGCCACAAGAGGAGTGGCTTCGCCGCCGCATCGGTGGCTGCCTCGACGAAGTAGTAGAAGAGCACCTGGCCATCCTTCTTGTGGACAGTCACGTACCCACCGTACTGATTTAAGCCGATGGTGCCGCTAGGCTGCCCTGGCAGCACATGGATCTTGTCGGCGGCCTTCAGATTGGCCATGTCATGGGTAGAGTACTCTATCAGGCTACTAGTAGTGTTAGTGATTCCTACCCTTGGTTCATCTATGTTGTTAGCATTGCTACTGTTCCGTCTAGACCGGATGAACCTTCTGAGCTGAGCCTCTTGCGATGCATCTGCATGCAACGCGGCCACGCAGATGAGGAGTAGACCGAAGGTGGTGTTCCTCATCGTCTGCTATGGTAAAATGAGCAACTATGTAGCTAAGATGACAAAGATGGATTCGTTGTTGGGGTTCATATATAGAGAAATTTTAACATGGTCCCAAACAATTTGTTTGAGTAATCCATGCACATTTAATGTGTTTTAATGTGCTAGAATCTTTTTAAGTATGCCATATCTTCCTCCCCCCTAGAATTCATTGATGGCAATATTGTGATCCTTGATTTCATGAATAGAGTATATGATTTGTGTATGTAAGACAATAATGTATATTACTATTTCCCCTTTTATGCCATAATGTATTAACTAGAGGATCCGATAAGATCTTTTTGTGCAATAAAACACGGACGTGGCTTGCCTGCTCCCACACCTTGCTCCCATCGATGCTCCCGGGACACGTGGCATACATCCCAAGCATCATACTATTTTCTTCCGTTCCTGGCTCCGTTTCCTTGTTAAAACAATTCCACAAATAAGACGATTAATACGAACCAAGACGTGGCCTAGTGGCTCTTGCCGGCGCTCCTCAGCCCGACGAATGCGGTCGCCGCCGATGTCCACGCTGCCACGGGCAGGAGCCCGGACCACACAGGGGTACTGGCACGCTTCCTCCAATCTGGACTCTGCTTTCTGCACTGATGGTCCTGATGCACCTTAGAGCGACCGTTGCAAGTCCACCAACCAATACACCGACACGACCTCATCGCTAACCCAAGCCAAGGATATAAGAGGCAACATGTTGGAGCCAACAGTGGACACCGGGCAGGCACAGAACATGCAAACCATCGACCGACCAAAGAAACACGGAATGAACCCAGATTAACACGCACCTTTCTGGCGTCTTGCCATCTCAAAGGAATTGTGTGCTTCTTTTTCCACGTAGTGAGGTCTGATGAGGACGTTGCACGTCATTGCCACCCGCTGCCTTTGTTCGGATGCTAAGTACTTTGGCCTTCCCGGACCCTGGCCGTCATGAGCCCTGCTGGGAGAGCGTCCGGCGGACGCTTTTGACTACCGGGCTTGACCCAATGGAGAGGTGGTCTTACCTACTAGGCTTCTTTGTTGTGCCCTCATTCAAACCCCGTGGTTTCAATTAGTCCTTGCGCTCATCATTTGATTATCCACAATGTGGATAGACATGTTTTTTGCAATAATACGCGTATAGCCTGCTTAACTTCCTGACTATAGTTGGTATTGTAAGAGATACGCCCTAGAGGCAATAATGACAGTTGTTATTTATCTACAAATTTATAATTAATATTTATATTTCATGCTATAACTGCAATGGTCCTTGAGTCCGTATATACATAAAGAATTAGAGAAAAATCCATGTGCACGTGTGAAATAATAAACGGTAAAATATATTCCTAGTCGTTCCTCTAAGATTAGCTCAAGTGATACATGATGGCTATGTTTTCCTAATCATCAGCATGACTATTAAGAATCTACAAAAAAGGAAATGCCAAGTAAAGCATCTAGATTTCTTGGATTTGTTTGTCTTGTAGAGTTTTGACGCCGTGTTTGTTAGGGAACGTAGCAGAAATTCAAAATTTTCCTACGTGTCACCAAGATCTATCTATGGAGAGACCAGCAACGAGTAGAAAGAGAGTGCATCTACATACCCTTGTAGATCGCTAAGCGGAAGCGTTCAAGTGAACGGGGTTGATGGAGTCGTACTCGTCGTGATTCAAATCACCGATGATCAAGTGCCGAACGCACGGCACCTCCGCGTTTAACACACATACAACCCGGTGACGTCTCCCAAGCCTTGATCCAGCAAGGAGAGAGGGAGAGGTTGAGGAAGACTCCACCCAGCAGCAGCACAACGGCGTGGTGGTGGTGGAGGAGCGTGGCAATCCTGCAGGGCTTCGCCAAGCACCGCGGGAGAGGAGGAGTACTTGTGAGAGGGGAAGGGCTGCGCCAGAACTTCGTGTATAGCTCCCATGCGCCTCCCCATTATATATAGGGGTGGAGGGGCTAGTTTCTTGCCCTCCAAGTCCATTGGGGTGTTGGCCAAGGTGGGAGGAAAGAAATCTCATTATTTCCTTCCCCACCGATTGTTATCCCCCTTTTTTAGGGATCTTGATCTTATCCCTTCGGGATATGATCTTATTCCTTCTAAGGGGGGATCTTGGTGCGCCTTGACCAGGGGTGTGGGGCCTTGCCCCCACTACCCACGTCCATGTGGGTCCCCCATGCAGGTGGGCCCCACTCCGGAACCTTCTAGAACCTTCCCGGTACAATACCGAAAAATCCCGAACATTTTCCGGTGGCCAAAATAGGACTTCCCGTATATAAATCTTTACCTCCGGACCATTCCGGAACTCCTCGTGACGTCCGGGATCTCATCCGGGACTCCGAACAACATTCGGTAACCACATACAAACTTCCTTTATAACCCTAGCGTCATCGAACCTTAAGTGTGTAGACCCTACGGGTTCGGGAGACATGTAGACATGACCGAGACGTTCTCCGGTCAATAACCAACAGCGGGATCTGGATACCCATGATGGCTCCCACATGTTCCACGATGATCTCATCGGATGAACCACGATGTCAAGGACTTAATCAATCCCGTATTCAATTCCCTTTGTCTATCGATATGTTACTTGCCCGAGATTCGATCGTCGGTATCCAATACCTTGTTCAATCTCGTTACCGGCAAGTCACTTTACTCGTTCCGTAACACATCATCCCGTGATCAACTCCTTGGTCACATTGCGCATATGATGATGTCCTACCGAGTGGGCCCAGAGATACCTCTCCGTTTACACGGAGTGACAAATCCCAGTCTCGATCCGCATAAAACAATAGATACTTTCGGAGATACCTGTAGTGCACCTTTATAGTCACCCAGTTACGTTGTGACGTTCGATACACCCAAAGCACTCCTACGGTATCCAGGAGTTACACGCTCTCATGGTCGAAGGAAGAGATACTTGACATTGGCAAAGCTCTAGCAAATGAACTACACGATCTTTTGTGCTAGTCTTAGGATTGGGTTTTGTCCATCACATCATTCTCCTAATGATGTGATCCCGTTATCAACGACATCCAATGTCCATAGCCAGGAAACCATGACTATCTGTTGATCACAACGAGCTAGTCAACTAGAGGCTCACTAGGGACATATTGTGGTCTATGTATTCACACGTGTATTACGATTTCCGGATAATACAGTTATAGCATGAATAAAAGACAATTATCATGAACAAGGAAATATAATAATAATACTTTTATTATTGCCTCTAGGGCATATTTCCAACAGTCTCCCACTTGCACTAGAGTCAATAATCTAGTTCACATCGCCATGTGATTAACACTCACAGGTCACATCGCCATGTGACTAATACCCAAGAGTTTACTAGAGTCAGTAGTCTAGTTCACATCACTATGTGATTAACACTCAATGAGTTTTATGTTTGATCATGTTGCTTGTGAGAGAGGTTTTAGTCAACGGGTCTGAACCTTTCAGATCCGTGTGTGCTTTACAAATCTCTATGTCATCTCCTAGATGCAGCTACCACGCTCTATTTGGAGCTATCCCAAACAACTGTTCTACTTGGAGCTATTCTAAATTATTGCTCCATTATATGTATCCGGTCTCTCTACTCAGAGCTATCCGGATAGGTGTCAAGCTTGCATCGTGGTAACCTTTACGACGAACTCTTTTACCACCTCCATAATCGAGAAAATTCCTTAGTCCACTAGTTACTAAGGATAACTTTGACCGCTGTCCTGTGAGCCATTCTTGGATCACTCTTGTACCCCTTGACTGACTCATGGCAAGGCACACTTCAGGTGCGGTACACAGCATAGCATACTGAAGAGCCTACGTCTTAAGCATAGGGGACGACCTTCGTCCTTTCTCTCTATTCTGCCGTGGTCGAGCTTTAAGTCTTAACTTCGTACCTTACAACTCAGGCAAGAACTCCTTCTTTGACTGGTCCATCTTGAACACCTTCAAGATCATGTCAAGGTATGTGCTCATTTGAAAGTATTATTAAGCATTTTGATCTATCCTTATAGATCTTGATGCTCAATGTTCAAGTAGCTTAATCCAGGCTTTCCATTGAAAAACACTTTCAAAAAAACCCTATATGCTTTCCAGAAATTCTACGTCATTTCTGATCAACAATATGTCAACAACATATACTCATCAGAAATTCTATAGTGCTCCCACTCACTTCTTTGGAAATACAAGTTTCTCATAAACTTTGTACAAACCCAAAATTTTTGATCATCATCAAAGCATACATTCCAACTCCGAGATGCTCACTCCAGTCCTTAGAAGGATTGCTGGAGCTTTGCATACTTATTAGCATCTTTCGGGATTGACAAAACCTTCCGGTTGTATCACATACAACCTTTCCTCATTAAAATCGTCGAGGAAACAATGTTTTGACATCCTATCTGCAAGATTTCATAAATAATGCAGTAATCGCTAATATAATTCCAACAGACTCTTAGCATCGCTACGAGTGAGAAAATCTCATCGTAGTCAACTCCTTGAACTTGTCGGAAAATATCTTAACGACAAATCGAGCTTTCTTAATGGTGACATTTACCATCATTGTCCGTCTTCCTTTGAAATCCATCTGTACTCATTAGCCTTACGACCATCGAGCCGTTCTGCCAAAGTCTACACTTTGTTTTCATACATGGATCCTCTCTCGGATTTTATGGCCTCAAGCCATTTATCGGAATCCGGGCCCACCATCGCTTCTCCATAGCTCGTAGGTTCATTGTTGTCTAGCAACATGACCTTCAAGACAGGATTACATACCACTCTGAAGTAGTACGCATCCTTGTCATCCTACGAGGTTTGGGAGTGACTTGATCCGAAGTTTCATGATCAATATCATAAGCTTCCACTTCAATTGGTGTAGGTGCCATAGGAACAACTCCCTGTGCCCTGTCACACACTAGTTGAAGAGACGGTTCAATAACCTCATCAAGTCTCCACCATCCTCCCACTCAATTCTTTCGAGAGAAACTTTTCCTCGAGA